GAAGTACAAGCCATGTTTTGGACAGCCACAAACAGCTGTTACACCACAAAATGAAGAGCATCTCAATCAGGTCATCTGTATGAATTGGCAAATTATGACCAGAGATCTGCATAATGAGCTGCATATCAATTTCAGTGTATTGGAAATGATGGTGGCAACACTGCAATATCACAAAGTTTGTTCCCAGTTGAGTCTAACAAATGATCATTCAGGGACAGAAAGAATACTGCATGAAAGGTTGTCAGACCTATTGAACCAGTAAAATGCAAAAGGTGACAGTTTACTTGATTGCACTGTTACTGGTGTTGAGATCCTCTGTGGCCACTATGTGTTAAGAGTCAAAGCAGCAGTCCATGAAATGGTGACATGTGAATTCCTCACTGAAGAAAAAGTTCATGACACAGTCCTTAGTTGGTGAAATAATATGCACTGTCTTTTGGGATAGAAAAGATTCATCCTTCTGGATTTCCTGGAACCAAAAAAAAAAAAACAAAAAAAACCAAACTCAAACAGTTATATCACAATGTTGACTAAGATGAAACCTCAAATTTCCAGTCAGGTCAGAAAAGAAGACAGTCTTTTTCTTCCAACACAACAACACTCATCCCCTGCCAGTCTAAAGACCATTAAGCATATTGCTTGCACAGTCTTGGCTGGCCTCTCCTACTACACTCATCATATAGTCAGATTTGGTGTCTTCTGAATTTCAGCAGTTCAGACTAATGAAACATGTATGGCATGGGCAACATAGTAATAGCAACAGTGCAGTCATAAATTCTGTGAAACACTGAATCACTTCCACTGCTGCAGATTTTTATAAGCATGGCATTAAGGCTTTTGTTCATTGCTGGTGTGCTGGTTTAGATATTACTGGTAACTAAGCTGAAAAAAAAACAGTGTTTTGCAGCTGAAAATTTTCTCTATCAAAGAGTGTTATTGTGCTCTTGTATCTGCTGTGGTTTCTATGGAGATCAATAGGCATTACTTTTTGAGCAAATTATGTGTTAGTGTTTTTATTCATCTCATGGTCCATTAAGAACTGTCAGATATTTCCACATCATGCACTTTTGTTGTAAAGAAAATCTAGGAAACTCTGGATTGTCCTTTGATCAGTTGGACAAGGACATAAATATTGACCGGTTTTACATCATTAGCAATGCTGATGCAAACACTTGCTCCATGTTATTTGAAGTGGTACAGTTCTTGAAGTCATCATGTCTATTGGAAAGATTATTTGGCTGTCTTTATACTTTTCTTCCTGTCCAGAATGACAGTTTCTAAAAGAAAAAAGAAGTGCAGCTAATATAAAAACATTAGGTAATTTAAACACAAAAAGAAGTCTGAAACATCTGCTTTATTTTTAGTTACTGTGACATAAGTCATTTATACTCCCAACATCCTAATTATTTGACTAAATTAATAACAGCACAGAAAAGCTGCTATGTAAAAAATGCTGTGTACGTTGAAGTTTCCAGATGTAATAGACTTACATTTGCCAGAGTGAAAGCATTTATTCTCTATTCTATAAAACCAGATCAAGTTTATTCAGCAGACTACTTTTATTACTTGTTATTTTTATATATTTATAATCTTCTTACCAGAAGTGATTATTTATACTTAATACAAAAATGATGTGTTCATATGTACAATGGAAGAGGGAGAATTAGGGATAAAACTGCAATAGGCTTAAAAAAAAGTGCTGTAAAATGTTCAGCTACAGGTTTGCATCATTGTGAGAGCAAATTTATGGAGTATGATAAAACAGACACAAAATTTCTAACTTTATTGGAACGAAGCTACATTGAATAATTTTATGGCAAAACCATAAAATCAGAATTCAGTGAGAGAGAAAAGGATAAGTTAGTAGTTTTGACACCAAACTAGGAGTAGAAAGAAGATCCTAAGAACAGAATTTTGAATAGATATTAGGAACACCTGAAATTTGACAAGAAATAATTTGTAGTTCCATTATTATACTTTTATAATAATTGATTAATAGCAAAACTGCACTGTATATTAAAGTAATTCAAAGTACTCAAGAATTAAAATTAACAGATAGCATGAAGAAAAATCCTTATGCTGGAATACCAAGAAGGATGACAAACTGTAGTTATTAAAATATGAATAAAATAAACATTTCTTAAACTTTTCCACAGCTTATTAAGAATGGAATTTTCTTTTATTATATCCACTTCTGGATGGAACAAATTATGTGACTGTTGCTCAAATATCACAGAATCACAGAATGGTCAGGGTTGGAAGGGACCTCAAGGATCATGAATCTCCAACCCCCCTGCCACATGCAGGGCCACCAACCTCCACATTTAATGCTAGACCAGGATATACACTGCAGAAACAATTTACATATAGGATAATGACAATGGCTCTGTACAGAACAGCTGACTTAAGTTTGAGCAGGTTTGGCATTCATAATTTGTACTTATCAGCAGGATAGCTCCAAAATTCTCAGGCTTGTAATGTCAAGATTATGTGATTCTGAAGAAGAAAACATGCAGCGGGCAAAGTATGTTGAGGTCTTTCCCAGGAAGAGTAGAAAAATTACATTTGAAAAGATTAGAATCAACTTCAACTAAGGCTGAATCTAGATTGCTGTCAAGAAGCCATGTTTAAACCAAGAGGAGGAGAATCAAACAATTTTAGGGACAAAATCTGCCCATTTTTCTGAGCAGACAGCTACTAATAGGAAGTGTAAGGCTTTGTGAAAGGAAAAAGTGTGTGCTTCTTAGGTGCCATTCAGGCAAGGATACTACAGTGCAAAAGGAGCTATCAATATGAAAGGAAAGAAGCCATAAACAAGAACATACAGACAGAAGACTTGAATGACAAATGATAAGCGAGGCAGTAATGTGAACTAATTGTGGTCAGTCACACTAATTGATGAGGGTATAAGGAATATGTGAATCTTTATTTTGCTAAAATTATTTTAATTGAGGACCGTATATTGTAGAATACGGCATATTGGGCGTTACTGTAGAAAAGAGTAAGTCATAAACAAACAAACAAACAAACAAAAGAAAGAAACAAAAAACAAAAAACTCCCCAAACTGATAGACAAACATAATGGAGGCCATAACTACAAACAAATTTTCCTGTGATATTCATTAACGAGCTACGAAGAAACTGTAAGCAAACCTGGATTTGCCACTGATAAGAATGTAGGCTTGAGGATCTAGGATTTTGGAACAGAATCCCTGGGACAGAACCAGCTGGTGATGCAATGTGCAGGAGAACAGGGAACAGGAAGAAAGACAGATATAAATAGGGATTGACTGCATTTACAATAGGGCCAACAGTATGCTTCTCTGACTGAGCCCTATGTCTGTTCACAACAGGCTGCTCTAGTTTCTGGTGTATTCACCAGAAAACTTTAAGTTGAATTAACTATTTGTTTTGCTCCAATTTATAAGAGGGAGATGAGGTTCTTTTAATATCTGTATATCCAGCCTGAGATTAAGAAAAAATGGTTCAAATGTTGGTTCAACCAGTTTACTATAAATCCTAATCAGGGAGACGGGGAAGGGAAGGAGGGTGATAGAAAATGTAGGAAACGAGTGAGTTCACGTACAGTGGGGATAGTCACCACCAGGATCCAGCAGTGGTCCTGTTCCGCGAATTCAGAAGGTCTGAGGCAAAAGCAGGAGGGGGGAGGTGAGGAGAAGCAGCAGCGTGGCCAGCCTTGGGCAGCAAGCAGGTAGCAGGAAGAAGTTGCAGAGCCAGTCCAGGAGGAAGCAGCAGGACTCAAGTAGCAGGCCCAGGAGTGTCAGTCAGCATGCAGGAATTCCACAGTGGGTAATATGATGGCAGACACCTTTGTTCTTCTTCAGCATGCTGGTAGCATGGAGGGAGTCCATGGAGGGAGAGAGGCAGGTCGTGAGGCTTCTCATGGCAGAAACCTCTTCTTCTTCATGAGGAATCTGTTACCAGAAAACCTAAACCTCATGATTGTAGATCCCCATTTTATCCTTCTTCTTTTTCTGCCTACATGACAGCCCTGGGTGCTTGAGCAAGAGTCATGTGAGTATCCCTCTGAATGGCCATCTTCCTTGAGATAAGTCCACACAAAAGACCGCTTCGCAGCCATTAAGCTGCAGCTTATCTCTCTTGTTTCCCCTGGCCTTGCCCATTTGTGTATTAGGTGGGCAGAAAGTTCATCCCAGGGGATCTGCAAATATGATTGCATGTGGAACAAGTGTACCAACCTGTGTGTCTTTGCAGTGAGTTTCAAGATGGACTAGCTGTTGAGTGAACCTATGGGGCAGGTGAGGTCTGGGATCTAGCAAGGCTGCCAATCTGGCAGAGACGCTATGCCAGTGCTCAAGGAATCTGTGAATGTGCTGGTGAGCCTGGAGATGTTGTGTGTGCTGTATACGCCTACACCAAGGACCTTATGTCTCTGCCAGCCTGAAAGCAGGTGAAGGCTAGGCGGCATGTTTTATGAGTGTTATGTGTGAGTGCTACTGAACACAGCACCTGGTCTGTGTGATCATCTTTGTCAGTGTCATATGCTTCTGTCTGTATGTGTGTGAATTAAGTGTTTGGCTTTGTTACTGGTTGAACCAGAAAAAAGGAAAGCCTTAGGGCAACAGGCTGGACTCTACTGGCCTGATAGAAGAGAGTTCTGGATCAATGCTGCTGCCTCAGCTGTTCTCCTATACTACCTTAATTGGAAGTAATTGAGCATGTGTTACAAACATGAATTTACTCGGGAAATTATTATAGTGTAGAGTGAACCAGCAATGACACTAGAATGAAAATGCCTGGAGAATATCACAACACTATAGCACTAGCCTTGCAAAACAGACACAGGTCCACAGCAAATCACAACTAAAACACAGATCACTGCTTATTAATGAGTTTGGAATGCAACCTTGAGAGTAACCTTGGTTTTAGAACATGATGAAAGCAGAGATAAAAAACAGAATGCTTGTATGACTGAATTGTGCTAATGAAGCCATTCTTTATTCTGTCAGGAAGTTATTCCCTGAAGAAAGTTGTATCATATTGGAGGAAAATATGCATCTATAAAAGGAGAAAAATTCTGTTTTAAAATATGTGCCAGCCATTGCACAGAGGTCATATAGCATGCTCATAAATAAGAACATCTTGTTCATAAGTTTCTGAAAACTTTTTGTAACAGTTTTACTGAAGTTTTCTTTTCACTTGCAGGTCCAGAGCAATGCCTACAAATTTCACAGACTTCTGAAATGAACTTCTGAACTGATAATTCTGCTAGACTGTTTTGCTTCCTCTGTGGGTATTATTTTGTGATTATAAAAAGGAAATATATTTCTATGGCTTTCATTATCTTAATTAGTTTACTGCTTGTCTTTGGCTAGTATACTGCCTTTGAACTATATTTCTAGTTTGAATAAAACTTGTTTACTCTCTGCGCAGTGTCTTGCAAGTGACTGAACTACACAGTGATCTTTGGACTGACCTAGTAAGCATAGTTAAGTACAGCAGAAAAGAATCTCATGGTCCAGTAGAATTTAAGATGCCTGATTTGGGAAGATATTTTGCGATAGTCAGATTGTTTTATTACCTGCTTATCGAAGTACTGTAGACAAGAAAATGCCTTCATATACTCATTCATTGTTTCTTCATTTACATTGTTCATAAACAATTTATCTAAGAGTTCAAAATATGACCACAAGTTATCCTAAGACTTAAATCTTTAAAACTATAGCTTTCCCCAAATCCATGAAAATCTATCTCAGTTTTTCAACTTATACTCACAAAAAATTACTTCCGGACTGACTGGGGCTTTTACAATATGAACAATGTTGTTTCCACTAGCTATTATTTTTGTCTACTGGTGGTGTAACTGATTTGCCAGCCTTACAATCTCAGAAATTTCTGAGCCAGGATGACTTTTATTTGGACATATCAACAGTGTTTTCTTTTCAGTAAAACAGGATTTGCTAGGTCAGTCTAATTTTCCTCTAGAGATGTTCCTAAGATGCTTGTTCTAACGAGCTGCTAAATAATGTATTGCCATGCAGGAATCTGGAAGGATGACATGCCCTTTATTTTGAGTATTTACCTGGTTTACAGTTTTTATAGAATAGTCAAAACAATAACATTTTAAATGACACTTGTAATCTCTTTTAAGAACTTATATTACAACATCATTGCAGGAGTAGTGTCGCTAATCACTCAACAGTTACGGTACCTTGCTTACATTTTCTCTCTCGCTGCCTATATTGTTAGCATATGCAGAAAATTACTTCATCATCCATGGTTCTCAGTTATATAGAATAATTTATTTTGGTATTGAAAGAGTGAAAAAGGCAAAAATACCACAATAATCTTTCATGTGAATTGAGCTTTGCATCCCTGGGAGAGGTGTTATTTTGTATGTGTTGATCTGAACCTTGAAAACAAGTAAAAGTTCTTACAAGTCTGAAACAGAACATATTTCAAGAGAAAAGATATAATAAAAAGGACGTTTTTTGTTTTACATATTTCAAGAGAAAAGATACAATAAAAAGGACGTTTTTTGTTTTAACAATGAAAAAGAAAAGCTGTCTACATTGCAGAGATGGGAGGATTTCAGTAATTTTTTTTGTTTATTGAACAGATGTTAAAATACTATATATTTTATACTAGTTATATACATTCTTTATTGTCAAGGGAATGTGATGATATAGAATAATCATGTACTTTGTGCTGCCCTAGCACCTGAAAAGCAAACAGTTTTTACGTTAGAAAATAATAATTGCTTTTGGGATAGCAAAACTATTGTGTGAGTTTTGTGTAGGACGTGGAAAATAATGTAAGAATATTTATTTGGAAAGAATGTTTCCTGTAGTATTTTTTGAGGTCTTAAAGAAACAAACAAACAAAAAAAAAAAAAAAAAAAACCACCATACAAGACCTTAAAAAATTACATACAATACAAGAACTTAAAGGAATAATAGTAATTTTAAAAGTATTTAAAGAGATTTAAAATAAATACATAAATAAATGCAAATGTATACAACAGGGAAAAAAAAAATAACATTTTAAAGATATGTTAAGTAGATTTGAAAAGTCTATACATTTCATGTAATCAATCAACTTGGATAATTTGTGCAAGTTGATATTTTGTGAAAAATAACATATCTGTGAATTACAAGTTAATATATGACTGTATCTATCTTTAGAATCAAGTAAAGCTGATAAGTTATTTATTCAATTTATGCTTCTTCAATTTTATTTGGGAAATATAGTCAAAATAATGAACCCAGCTCAGGTAAGAGACTAGAAAAAATAAGTAAGTTTCAAAACTCAGAGTCTTCCTGTTCATTCAGGAAGTGTTTTTCTGTTTACACTGGCCTGTTGGGTACATGAAAATCTCAATTTCACCCAGACAGAGGACACAGACAGAAATTCTGATTTCTATTTGTAAGGGAATAGAATTTTAGGTACTAAACTAAAAGAGAAGAATGCCAGAGCAGGAATTAACATGGCATTGTGGAATGAGTAACAAATTAAAAGTAGATCAGTTTTTGAAGAAAATGCAGATTCCAGAGTTTTTTCAGAGCAGAAGTCTTAGCCAGGGACACTACTGAAGAGACAAAGGAATTTCAAATACATTGCCTGCTGAGATTAATCAGTCTGAAGTACTGTGACTCAACGTACATAATGGATAAGAAACTCTCTGTGGAACCTGAGGACATTGAAAAGCTGACTGGGTAATGATTCCCATATACTGTATATGTCGACACATGTACACACAAACACCACACAAAAGACGTAGATCTTCTGAATGACCTTGAATAAAAACATGTTCTTAACAAAGTTATGACAAACTCTTATTACCGCCTTTACTCTCAAATGCCTCAAGATACCTGCTTTGGTCCATGAAGCATGAGAAGAGGTCATATGCAGATATTGAAGTCCAGTATGCAGTATGGATCTACCTAATCAAAGCAAAGTAAAGAAGATAACACTCTGTATTCATTTTTTACTTTCATACTGTCATGGTTTTATGATTTTTGGTTATCGGTATTCCACATAGTAACATTATGTAGTGCACTGGGAGTTAAAGAGTTAATGCTCTAGTTCTGGGCACCTGCTCAGAAGAGAAGAACTACATATCCTGGAAGACTTTGCATTCAGAGAGGAGATATAACCCCTTGCAAGGTCACGAGACCTCCCCCTTTTCTTCTTCCTCTCTTCTCCTTGCTACTTATCCCAACTACACACATTGCCTTAGCACTAGTGTAAAGCCTACAGCTTTTGGACACTCTTTCTCTCATTATATTTGATTTATTAGCTTCAATTCTAATTATATTGTATTTTAGTGTGTTATCTTGCATTTCAATACCAGATTTAGTAAATTTGTTTTTCATCAGATAGTTGCTGCTATTTTTAGTTATTTTGGTGTCCCCTTTTTCCCCTTTCTAGAGGCAAGGATCTGCAGATTCCTCTGCCCCACTAGTCACGGAACTGGGCTAAACCAGCTCATAAACCACTGACACACAGAATGCATAAATTAGAGTCCACCCTTTTCATTCATTCATTGTTATTTAATTCTTTTGTGCTCATTACCATACAAAATAAATAACTCTCATTAGACATAAATGTGCAACATTTCCATTTATTATACCTTAAAGTGTTACGACGACTTAGTGTTGATGTGTTCTTATCTTTCCTGCAGACTTTTCTATATTAGAAAGATTGCATGTCTAGTAAAAATAAGATTTAGTGAATACAAAAATGCCATTTAGTTCCATAAACCAGATTTGTTATTTGCAGTATATTTTTCAGATACCTCACTTTGCATTACTTCTAAAAACCTTCGTATTGCTTGGGTCTGTTAGGCTTTAAGGAAGATATAGTAAACAAATGTTCCCGCTGCTCTTAATAATCTGATTATTAAAGGAATAACTAGGTAGCAAGCCTCTAAACATCCTTATATGCAAGTTTATTTTTGTTTGTTTGTTTTATTATCTTGCTATTGAAGTTAATGAATGACATGCATTACAAGTATCTCCATTATTTTTATAGCAGATATTTAAACTGAGAATTGAGTAAGATCAAATATAGTACTGTTTTTCAGATAATTTTTAGTGCAATTTATAAATCTTTTGCAATAATTTTCTCTCAGATAATTTTTAGTGCAATTTATAAATCTTTTGCAATAATTTTCTAGAAGACCTAACTAATGAAAAGATCCACATCTTAGTTCAATATGGATGTTGGGTGTTGTTTCTTGCAGTGGGTATGAGATGCTCTGGTATGTACTGAGTCACAGAACTGTTATTTGTGAGTGGATATGGAGCAATGCTAAAGCAGAATCCCTGAAAGCACACATTAAGTGAAGGTTAAAGTATAGTTATTGGGAAAGCATGCTAAACAACTAGAACTATTTCATATGCTGTGTGCATGCTCTGCTCTTCCCAGTATGACAGTAAATAATACAGTTGATGAAACCATGAGTGACTGACACTACTTTGCATTTTAATCTTTCTACACAATAATTAATCTTTCTAAAATTTTAACAGATAAAGTAGAACAAAAACTGGAAAAAATACTGTTTTGACATTCAATAGTTTCTGTATTCATTTTTTGCTTTCATAGAATAAATAAATAAAAGTTTAAATAAATTTGTATTGTGAAGAAAAAAATATTAATTCATGTAAGCTAAAAAGTATAAAGTTAATCACATCTGCAAGTAAATACATTTTAAACAGAAAGATGCTAAGGCAGATGAGAAAACAGTGTTTTCTTTAACATATGAACAATTACACTTGAATCTTATAATAAATGCAATGCTTTAAAAAATTGTAATGACAATGACAACATTGATTGCATTACTAAAAATCACTCACTGTTGTAAGATCAAACTAAATTTCTAACAAAGAGTGTTTAATATTATTTCCTAATTGTGCTTTCTTTGATAAATTGGCATGATAGAAATGAGTGAGAAAATCAGCAATCTGGATCCAACAAACATAATATAGCACTAGAACAATATTTAAAGCAACTCTAACAGAAGTCAGTGTATGGTAATTGTAGGAGTGTTCTTTGGAGACTATGGAGACCTACAATTGAATGTGAATTAATTTAAACTTTTCTAGATCTACAGAAACCCAGTGCTCAGAAGAGTACTGAAACAAAAAAATTTACCTGGACCAAAAAAAACCACCACCTCGCCAAAAAAAAAAAAAAACACAAAAAACACCACAGCTATTTAAAATAGCATATAGGAAGGGAGTAGAACATGAAAAACTGCTCTAAGGCTCAAAGTGAGAAGTAGGTTAGGTCTACTAAAATTTGTTGCTGCTCCTAGCAGAAGAAATAGGGTAAGAAATGCAAATATGTTAGGGTCAAAAGTAAGTGTAGGAGATCTAGAAATGATGGAGATGTTGATGTGTGGGAAAAAAAAGCTTGAATTTTCTGCTGAAAAGGGAGAATGATTTGGAGTATAATGTAGTTTATCAAGTTGAGAGGGAGTGAGAGAAGGAGGAAATTTGGCTATGAAAGTTAAACAGATTGAAGAAGTGGGAAGTAAGGTGTGAAGAATAAAAAGAGATGGCATTTTTCTTTGCACTTACAGCTGCAGATGTTGAGTGATAACCTCCAATGAAACAGAATCTGAGTTGTAAAAGCACAAAATAAGTAAGAAAATATTTTATTTTCAGTACGGTTATAAAGAAAAGAGAAATATTACTTGGTTTACAGCATATTTAAATGAAAGAAATTATGATTATACAATTAATTATTTTGTCTGAACCACTTAATATACTGCAAATGTGGTGGATTTTGTTGCTGTTGTTGTTTGTTTTTATTTGTTGGGTTTTTTTGTTTTGTTTTGTTTTGTTTTGTTAATGGGATTGTCTTCAAGTGGATAACTTTTAGAATTCTCATATATAAACACAGTTAAATCTGCAAATCATTACTCACAATCAGTCAAGACAAAAATGGGCTTGGATGTTGAAAAAACCTTACAATCGAATAAGCTCAGATATATAAAAGCCATAAATAGCTCAGAATTATATGCAATTTTTTTCAAAGTAAGAGTTACAGACAAAATTAAGTCACAAGTCATACAGCAGAATTTCTAAATTTGTATCATTCTTGATAATGTAGAACACCTTAGACATTTCCAGTCATTGTTTTTAATATACACAGTAAAATTCCAGAACATTTCTTCTATCTGAGTAATTACTCTGACAAATGCCTCAGTTAAAGATATAAATCCTGGCTTGCTCAGAAAAGTATGGAAGGTCTCATATGAGCTTCCATAGTGTAAAGTCCTTGACTGCCGTAATTTTAGCTCTGTAGTACTAGTGCTATTACCAGAAAGTCTTGTGCTTAATTCTAAGGGTAGCCTGACAACTTTTTACAAATGATACTCCAGAAGGTGTGGGGTGGGGGGAAACTAAAAAAAAAAAAAAAGCAGAATTTCACTGATCCACTGACACTGCAAAACAACCTCGTCTACGAACTACAATGAACTTTTTTTCCTCCTGCGGATGGAAAATATTTTGCTGATATTGTAAATAGAAAGTGAAAAAGATATCATAATGGTAGAAGTTTGATATTGTTTCTGTTTCCTTGCCTCCCTGTGAATCCTAACACTTGGCAAACTGAGCTGAATTTTCCCCTTTTCCAAACAGGAGTGTGAAATGTCATTTGCTTGCCTCCTTTTTTGTTGATTGTCATGGTTTTATGACTTTTTGTTGTCAGTAACAAAACATTATGTGGTGCATTGGGAGTTAAAGAGTTAATTCTGCAGTTCTGGTACCTGTCCCAGAAGGGAATAACTACATACCCCACAGGACTTTCTGTTTGGAGAATAGATATAACCCCTGGCAACCTCAACTGCACGTCTCGCCTCAGTCTTAGATTAAGGCCTTTGGTTTTCAGCCACTCTCTCTCATTTCATTTGATTTATTAGCTTCAATTCCTATTATAGTGTATTATATTTTATTATAGTGTGCTGTCTCTAATTATAATAACTTATTTAGTAAGAAAGTTTGTTTCTACTCAGATCATTACTGCTGTTTTGTTTTTGGACCCATCTCCCTACCCTTTTCACTGTTTTCCTTAGGAGTGGATCCCTCTGCCCCGCTAGTCACACAACTGGGCCAAATGAGCCCATAAAATGTTGACATTGATTTATTTGTGGGAAATCTACATTAAACAAGCAGGCTTTGTATTTTGGCTACATAGTCTGTATTAAAATGGACTACAGCTAAAGCTATTTACAACACTGCATCTGCCATATTTTCATATTATCTCCTGTATCTAGACCATTATACACAATAATAAGTGCACCATGTTTTGGACATAAACATGTTTTGGAGTATTAATTCTCCCAAAAATTTGGAGTGCGATGAAGAAGAACTTTAAAGTCTTTGTATTCTTTTCCCAGATTTCATATAGTTAGATACCAATCATACATATGGGAATGGAAAGGGAAGAGATATATACCGCTGTGTTTTGAGTCCAGGTAAGTTTAATTCTGAGTTGTTTAAAACCTTCCATTAAAGTACATTGGTCATTTGTGTCACACTGCCAACAGTTTAAGCCGTAAAGTGTTATGGTTAGATACAGACAACCTAGTTACTTTCTCAGTGCTGATATTTCCCATGAACTGATATTGCTGTGGAGCATTTATCAAATCACAGCTGTTTTATATTATATTTGTTATTAATTTGTAGAAACATGGCTGATTCAGTAGTAGGGCTTTTTTTTTTTTTTTTTTTTTTTTTAATTGTATAGAGCTGCAATTGAAAAATTACTGAATTTGTTCCATAGCTTATCTTTCAGTTTAAAAAGCCATTATTCTGGTCATGCGTGTGTTGTGTGAATGACAGAGGAAGTGGCTATCTCATTTGTAATGTGGTACATTGCACTAGCAAAGGAAAATGCTCCTATGGTTAACGCACACAAATCTGCTTATTTCAAAAGAATGCTTTCCTTACATCCAGCAGCCTAAGATTAAAAGTATGCAGAAAATTGAAAGCAAGAGACTTGGGTGTGATACTTTTACCACAAAAAGGCTCTGAATGTTATACTGTATATCATAGTATTCCAAGGTGCAGGGTTTCTTTGTGTATTTGTTTTGGTCTTTTTCTGATAACAGATTAGCACTATTTTTTTTCCCCACTTCCAGTAAATATTAATTGGACTGTCATATCAATTAATGAATATACTCCAGGAAAAGAGATGCCTGGGAATCTTTATTGTCATTTTTCATGATTATTTTAAAGTATTTTACACAAAACAAAATATCTTTAACAGCAGTCTTTTTTAGTGTTCTTTAATCACTGTTTTTTTTTAAAAAAAAACTCCAGTGGAAGCTGTCTTCTACAGTTTTTCAACATCTGTGAATCTTATTCCTTGTTTTCTACTGGTCCTGGTTCTTCTCATAGGCTATTCTAGGGAATCTAGGTTTTCAGCATGCTGACAGTAGTTTGAATTCAACAGATAAAGCAGACAACATAAGCAAATCTGGAAGTATAGGAACCATGTGTTTGGTAGACTTCATGTGCAGAAAAAGTTGCATTTGCTCAATTTATATGAAATAAATCCAGTCTGACATATCTGTCAGAAATAGTGAATGTAAAATAAACAGTCAATCTGAACATTTGTCTGAAGTTCCAAAAGTATCCATGTATTATTTTTCCCAAAAGGACCATTTGACTTTATAAAAGCACCTAAAACTAATTTCTTCATTTATTTATTCTTCATATTATTTATATTTAGCTTTCCACCAGCAGTCTTGCTCCAATTGCTGAAATACTTTACATGTCTAAGGTTATGCCATTAAATTTTGAACACTTTTCCATAATAGAACAGGACAGTTTCATTCTTGATTTCAGAACATACTTTCCTGATGTCGTGCCTGTAATATATAAGGACACAGATTGAATTACAATCTTTTATCTTCTTTGTGGTGTATAAAGATCCTCTGTGTTAAGGAAGAGCAGTGGTGAACATTCTCAGTATACTGGTTCAGTTCATATTCATTAATTCTAACATTTTTGACTGTTTTTCTAAGTTTCTAAGAAATATTTTAATTTAAAAAAGAGACAAAAATAAATTTGAGAGTGATTATACAGAGAATGTCTATAACAGTATTTATTTTGTAGTGAAAGGGAGCCAAGAAATGTCATTTTTCCACAAATGAGCTATTCAGTATGAAAATCAAGTCCAATTCAGTTTCTTTACATGATGCTGATAATGCAGTATTTCATTATCAAGTAGGATAACTTATATACAGAAAGATAATGTATAAGATATACTAGCACTGAAAGAAAAAAAAGAAGAAACTAAAACAAAAATAATAAAAAACAACACAGTTTCAGAAACATCATTATTTACAAAACATTTACACAATTTCTCTTTCTTTCAATTCTTTGAATAAATAATTACAATTTTTTCTGGGTAGACCAAGTTCATATCTTGCCTCTAAATGTACTCCAATTATTTAATTTGAAATATTCAATCAAATGCTTCCACTACACTTTCAATTAGGATTTCTAAACAGCTTTTAAATAGATTATAACCACATACAATTTAATTTAGCATTTCTGCAACCTCAAATTACCCAGTCAGAATCACACCTCCATTGTCATCAATTCTAAGAAAGACATCCAGTGGTGTCATCCAGTGGTGACCTCCACTGTCCTTTCTCCTCAGAGTGAGAAAGCTAAGTGATAATACCTCAGAGTACTTGCTGTGTTATGAAGGTACAATATTTAAATGCAGTAACTAAGTCAAAAGTACAATTCAGTTTGAGAGCTGGCAATTCTGGAATAATCCAAATCTGACATTCACACAAAATAATATGTAAGCACGGTGTATTCTCTGCAAAATCTTATCAGAAGTGTAAACATTTTAATGGAACATTTGTCAAATAAAAACCTCACCAAAACACATGAAAGTCGCTTTACAGAGTGCACTAGTGAATTATTCTATCCAAAGGAGTGTACTCCCATCTTGTTTTCCTTTTTAGCGCAGAGAAACTTGAACTGCAATATCTAGCTGAGTTCTGTAAAGGGGGAAAATAATTACAAACCCATGCCTTCACCTGAAATGTGGAATAGTAGTGTTCATGGCTTACTCCAGTAGTACAGGAGTACTGTGTATTGAGTGTAAAGATGTTATTTTTGTGTTGGGTGTAAATGACAAGACTTGGTAGCATGCCAGCTGCAGACATGATCTCTGTGGGAAGAAATCTGCCTGCCCTGTGCTGGACCCAATTTCATTCAGATCTGCAAAGGATCTGATACAGGACACAGCTAAGTTCATTACTTGGAACTTCTGTAAAAATAATTTAAGAAAGGATCGTAAACATTGAGGAACAGGAAGAACAAGGCCAGAGCAGTAAAGAGAGTGACCAAGAAGCTGTATGGATGTTTGTCTGCTGTCAGGGGTCAAACTACCAAAATATTGAACATTTGAAAGTTCAGTATACCTTAGGCTAAAGAGATTGGCTTAGCCAGAGGCAAACTGACAAACTCAAAATTAAAGGTCACAGATTTCACTTTCACACCACTCAGCGTTTAAGCAATTCCTACAATGAGTGTTGTAGTTATTCTCGTATTTTTCTGTTTCCTCTTTTAACTAATTGTCAGTTCAAGAGGGAACTACTTTACTGAATGTTAATGTTAAATTCCCATGTTAATTATTTTTTTAGAGAAGCTGGAAGTAGCTGTGTGTATATATAAAATTGTGTATATACATTGTTTACATATGTATATTTGTATATATACACACACATATACATATGTATTATATACATATATGTACATATGTTATATATATATATATAACATGAATATATAAATAATATATATATACATATGCTATCATTCCAGCTCTATATTCCTCCACTCTGTATCACTGCATTTGAGTCATAAATACTTAAGTCTGCTTAGAATAACTGCTTGTTTCTCCTCTCTTTACAATATAATGGTTTTAGTGTACAATAATAGTGTACAATAATATGGAACAATTATAATATGAAACACAGAAGAAAAAATGCTGTAAAAACTAAACCAAATAAAACAACACTGCAGACAGATCAAGAAAAGTTGAAATGGAGCAAGCCTTAGTGCTGACGCCTTGAAACTCAGTTAAGAGTCTACGATCTATTATTGGCAGTACTGCTATACACAACAAGGCTATGGAATTCCGATTAGAAAGAGGAAGGATATCACAGTTATCCCTTTCCTTCTTGATTTGTCTTAAATTATGAACTAAAATCCTCTACTCTGTAGCAAACAGCAACTGAATTGTAGCAAGAAACAAATCCCTCATATTACATCAAATTTAGATTATGTTTAGGTTCTTGCAGTTTTAATGACCTACTATCATCAATTTTCACCCCTAGATACACAGTTTATAATTCAAATCAAGCTAAAATAATTCCATAATATGGGAAAGAAAAAGAAAACAACTACAGATGAGAACTGAGATCTTTAAGTAAGTAAGTAAATAAAACTTATAACCCTTCACCCCTACCAAAATCTCTAAGACTGTGTCTTCTTAGTTGTTCTTTTGGTAGGAAAAGTAGTCTTTGGTAGTATTAATCCAACTATGTTGAAATTAAGTATATTGCATTGTAGACATTGTCATAGATCTTTATTGTTGTCTTCTAAATATGAAAGTAAAACCTCTTGAAAAATAATGTATACAAGGGCTGCTCTGAAAGTAACCTACTTTGTTATGTTGGCTCATAATGCCAGAGGCAAATGTTGGTGATATGGCAGTAGGGGTTGATTTTTTCTGGCAATATTCCATTATATTTTGTTGCTGTGCAACAGGTGGCAGCAGAGGGATAGTCTGACAAAATTGTTTCTGACATGGAAGTGCATATGAAGCAAAGGTGTGTAATTGAATTCCTTTGTGTGGAAAAAAAAAAAATGCACCTACTGACAGTGATCAATACTTGCTGAATGTTTATGGAAACTAAACAGTGAATGTGAGCACAGTGAGATGGTGGGTGGTATGCTTCAGCAAGGGCATCATCCTAGCAGCTGTGAAACAGTGGGCTGCTTCCATCAATGCAGATTTTCACTAGAGTGGCATGCAGGCTTTTGCTCACTGCTAGTGTGTTTAGTTGATAGTGGTAACACTTTATAGCTGAGAATTTTCTCTATCAAATAGTCTTGTTATGATCTTTGTATCTGTTATAATTCCCATGAAAATAAACAGGAGCCATTACTTTCAGAGTATTTTTGGAAATTTTATTTCTCCAATGAATATCAGTCTTGTTTCAATTTCAATAGTGTTATTACCACTTTCCAATGTAGAAATAAATTTTTGGATTGAAATGTGAGAATTACTCTTAGTGCTTTTCTGTTCTACACATTACCACAAATTTATCTAATTTCTATTAGAATCTTATTCAATTTCCCTATTTAGATGTCTGAGTAAATGTAGCAATTTGAACTTCAATAAACACTGATTAAAAAAAAAAAAAAAAAAAAAAAGTCTCAGTGTAGATCTTTAGACAGACTCACCTGCAACTTGTAAACATTAGTTTAACTTGGCCAATACCAGAAGTGTCCTACAATGCCCTTCCAGTCTTGGAGAATGAGTTAAAAAATAATAATAAGAATAATCAACAACAACAACAAATGACTAGGAACAAAAGCATAAATTAATCCTTTCTTTGAGCTAGATTTGTAATTGATCTTTTTTATATATGCCTATCTGTTTCATGCCAATCTTCTACACGCAATGATGAAAATAAAGTCTAGACTTTTAAGTCAGTAAGAAAGTTTGTAATATGATTAAGTCTGTGAAGCCAGGATTTGCTTTAATGTTGGTACAAGGTCTGCTTAAAAATAAATGCTTATTTTGACCCAGTTTTTGATCTTGTTTAAACAGAGATATTAGGAGGTATTCATAAATACATATTAAGTTGAGGAATTTCATCTGTATTCTTAGTTCATTTTCACTGTTCCATAGTAAAGTTAAGATCCTCTGCTTTATACAGTACAGACAGAAACTCTGTGAATACTGCTGGACTACCAGTTCCACTTCTTTCAATGTTATATGAGAATGTGTGGTTTCAAAAATTCTTAACTAACTTATGAAAACTAATATGTTTACTTTCTGATCTTAAAAACATTTTGGTGTTAAAAAATCTAAAAGCAACTTTAAGCTACACACTTTATCTTCTTACACACACTTATCTTCTGTAAACCTATTGCTGTATTATATAATTACAGAAGAATTAACCTACAGTACAAGGAGGAATCTATATTTAGGAGAAATGTGTGAATTTCTGGAGCAGCATTTTAATTTAGAAAATTAAAGATATATCATCCCTTCAGTGAGTATGAAGTTATGCAGTGTGAAATCCCTGTAAAACATGTTCCTATTCTTGAATTTACATTGACTCAATGTTCTTTAAAAAACTGAATTATTTAGTGAGAAATAATGCAATGCATATGATGCTTATTTACTAATTTACTGCTCAAAATGTGATGAACAGCAAATCAAAAAGTCTACAGGAGAGAAGGACAGACTTCCTGTTGGCAAGCAGTGGTTTTATTTTGGTGGGGTGATCTCAGCCAGTGAGACACTGTTGAATAAGTTCCTGTTTGTTTTTTTCCTTTCCATTCTTGTAGGAAACAATTTTGTTAACTGAATTAAAAGAGGCACTTTTCTCACTCATTTTCTTTTCACTCACTCAATAAGTAACTTTAGCATCATCTAAGATTTCTTCACAAAGTCCACAAGATGGTTTATCCACCACTGCAATTTCAGCTAGCCATATGTGATGGTCACAATCTATGAGGGTGAACCAATCTGCAGGTGTGTAGATTCTGACAGTGGGCCTGTAGGATTCCATAATACACAAGGACTCAGATGTTATCTTTCCATTAATTTCTTTATCAAAATTTTGTACAAATTACTAGCAGTAAATCAAGTATATACTACAAGTTACTACAAAACTACCACAAGTAAAGCAAACTTTCACATAGAATTGCCTATCTGTACGCGTACAATAACTGTGTATTAATATGTGTATTATTTGAAGTAGACTACATTCACCAAACCATTCCCAGACTGAGGACAACTGAAAACTGTAAAGTTTCTCTTCATAGAAGATCCACAAAATGGAGTTTGGAATCAGGCAGGTATTGCCAGAAAGAAAGGGTCCTGTCTGTCCTGGAGAACTCACGCAGAAAAGCTCTCTCATAGAGGCTTGTATTGAGTTCAGAGCAATTTACTTCTATACACTTTTGGCATAGATACATAAATGGACATTGGACACTAATTCCTGCAACAGCTGTAGCTGACTGAGTATAAAAGGTTGTCTGGTTCCATCTGAGTTTATCGAAGAAGTCTCAGAGTTCCCAGCTAAATGGATATCCGTTGGCAATGTACAGCACGCTGCCTTTATGCTTGCTTTGTTACCACAGAGAAACTTTGTTCTCCGTAAGTAACTTTGAGTGGATGTATTTTGGTGAGATTAAGCTTAATCTCTGAGTTAGAATTGTACGTCATCATGCTTAACTATATTTACCACCTCTTTCCACTCTAATATTTTTTTGCAACCTTAATTTGTGTACAAGCTAATAATGCTGACATTAAATAAACAAAACTGTACAATTTTTTTTTACATAAGTTGCAAGTTCTGAAGCTTAGCACAAAAATATTAAACAGAACAAATGGGAAAAAATATATGATAAAGTTTATTTCAGTGATAGATTTCAAGTGGCTTATGTCTACAAGGAAGAGCAGAAGAATGCCTCTTTGAGAAGAAAAAAAAAAACACAAAAAAAAACCTCTTTCCCTCTGCCACAAACTGAATTGTAAATATTCATCAGGTTTTAAGTCAGAAATCTAAGCAGACTTGGCCTTCTGAAATTGTCTTATTTTATCATGATGTATTTATGTATTTTATAAGATGTCTTCAGACAATAACGAACATTTAAAATGTATAAGCATATATGGACAGTTTTGAAGTAAAGACTACTGAGTTGGTAAATTATCCGTCACTGAAATATGCAAAGTACATACAGAAGCTTCTCTTCAAACAAAACAAGAACAGCAACAAATAAATCATAGAATACAGATCAGTCCAGCATAAGAAAGCCGTAGTTGATTGTTCTGTTGTCAGAGGAAGCATGGTTTGTTTCTGATAGTAAAACAGTGTGGATACTATTTCGGTGCCAAGGGTTATTTTCACAATGTAAAAATCTTTCTTCATCTGATATTAATGTCTACACCAAGAGACCTTACATGAAATTAATTCTCACTGTGTCATCATCATTTGATAATGCTTTAAATATATGAAGTAGATTTTGCCCCTATCCAGAGGGCAAGCACAGAAGTTGTGAAATACTTCAGTATTGGGTAGGACAGAAACTTTAAATCACATTCAGTAGATAGCTCTGCATGACAAGGTGTAAGCAAAAATCTCAAACACAGAAAGAAAAACAGATCCAAGGAACTGATTTTATTAAATTAGAATTTTCCTAAGACAAATAGATTTTATTTTAGCAAAAACTCGTTACTCAAGTAATCCCTTTCTTCTGTACTGACCACCACCAAATCGGAAGTAATCATACTGCCCTCTTTCTACATTCCTTTTGTATTCATAGTCCCATGCAAAACCATGTGACTTGATGTGCCACTCTCAGCTGCAATTCCCCTGTGTCACATGTCCTGACCTGTATCATGTATGAGAGTATTCTTCCACTATGAGCTATAACCTCAATGTGTTGGATTCTTCCTTCTCTATTTGAATCTAAATTTCGGGCCCACCCTGTAACTAAATACCGAAAGGGTTGCATGCGTTGACATGATTTGGGATCATGGAGTCCGCAGCCCTGATTCACTCAGTATCCTACCACAGCACACAATTTCTTCCCCTGGAGAATGGGGTTATGTAATTTATAAAATTGTACTTCTACATTTGGTTTAAGTGCTTTGGTATTCATTTCATCTCTGTACTCACAATTTGTGACTTGTGGTTCAACTATAACAAGGACTGTGGTTACGTGTCCTTCACTCATTTCTATTTACCAGCCTAAAGGTGTTCTCCCATAATTTCTGCTTTCTGTGTTAGATCTAAAAATACCTTTGAATACCTTAAGACTTTTTTTGATATTCAGGTATTTGAAGCTCCTGTAAAGAAAGATGTAAGTCATGTAGGCCAGGTGGAAGACATATAAGCTACCACATCAAATGGCACTGCATAGCAGAGTGCCTTCTGTGTGTGTTCATGTGTGTGTCTAGGATATTTCCTTAGTTTTGCTACTAGTTAACTCTGAAAATGGAAAAGCTATGTCCATCAGCCTGGACAGATACCCTAACACATCTGGCTAAGCTCCAGCAACTGGCCAGAAGAGAGTACTGAGTGGGAACTGTTGCATACAGTGGTCATTTATACTATCAATATTTTGTTACTTCCACATAGCACTGGATAACAGCTATGCAGGTCACTCCAAAAGTAATGTCTCCTATTTATTTCCATGGAAACTACAGCAGATACAAAGAGTACAATAACACTATTTGATAGAACAAACTGTCACCTACAAAACACTATTTTTCAAGGTAGTCACCATCATTAGCTGATTTACATGTATGAGCTGATTTAGACACTTTAAATTCATCTTGTAAAGTAACAGCTGAGCATGGCTGTCTGAAACATGTCCTTCAAGTCACCTCTGTCCCTGCTGAAACATACCACTCACCACCTCACTGTTGCTTACCACACACTTTCACATACATCCTAATTCCATGCATAGTAAATCTTTATTATTTCAGGCCATTACTTCAGTAGCCAGAATACTACATATTATAGCATCTATTTTGTAAAATCTTTTTTGTGGTTTCAGTTGAGCAGAAATCATTTAGCCATAGCATTGATAAATATGCATCAGTAACACAACAGTGAATGCTGCACAAAGACAAAAAATATCCCTTAACTGATCTTAAAAACTACTTTATTCCTCATATTTCATAATGAAAAATCTTTGTCACCCTTCTACTTTTCTAGTTTTCTGCAGTATACTCCTTTGTCTCCATAGATAATGTGATGAGCTTACAGGCTAATGAATGGCAAACATCTAAGTTTGTTTACAG